AAGGAAGTGGTAGGTCGAGGTTGGCGTTTGAAATGGGATGTGTATTACCTGAAGCCTCTCCAGACGCTGATTCCAAATCTGCTGAACGTCGCTATGAGCAAAATTGCGAATTTTTTTCCTGCAAGTGGCGTGATGGCGTAAAGGTTGAAAAGGCGGATTTGCAGGATCGACGCCAAGGGACCGATCCGCTCGCTCAGTATCCTTCGCTTTTTTCATTACGCGTGAGGAGTTCTGGTTTTTCGATGAATTTTTCCCTTGAATATTCCGACTTTGTTATTCTCGGTCTCCGTGTTATTTCTGGACCATATGGCGATTTTGAATTAAGCTCCGCTTATTACGGTACGTGTCCCACCTACTGATGATTTTTGATCCTCCTCCTTCGTCCAGCGGTAGTCCTTTTTTCGACTTCTGAAACTGCTCTGAACACATATCAATTTGGTGGCAAACTCCGCTTATTTCGGTATACTAAACGCCAGCCAATAGCATTTGTCTTTCTTTCTTCCTTCTCTGATACCCATCCACCATTCTCCGGTCGATGGACTACTTGAACTCGGTCCTTTAACCGGCCTCAGCTCGATGCTCTCGTCTGCGCTCTCTCGCCTTATCAGCGGCTCATGACCATTGTGATCTTACACATTCAAACTTTCCACACTGTGATTGGCTCACCCAACCCAGAGTCCCTCCCCCTTCTCAGCATCACTTTTAAGACTTGAAGCGGAGCTAGGCGCCGTTCTCGATTGTCTGTTCTCCCCGCCATTCGTGATAGGATCATACAAGAAAGTTCATTTAGTCCGTAAACCCTTTTCTCCCGCTCCCTAATGTAAGCATGAGACTTCTCGGAACCAAACTTGTAGGAAACGGTGTTCACTGTAAATACGCAGTACTCAGATGAACAGAGTGTTTTCGATGAGGTTCGATGTGGGTAACTTGTCGGGAGTTACAGTAATGTCAGGTAGGCCAAAAATGACGTGTTATTGCCTAAAAGGCAAATTTCACTTCGTATAACTTTTAGTGGTTCGGAATATTTGGAATGTGGTTTGTGGTCCATTGAAAACACGTACCTTGCCATACGAATAGTTTTGTAGGTTCGTTGCTCCTATTACTTTCTTTATCTAGTGTTAAACGCGTTAATGAAAAGAAAACGGGGATATGCAAACTGAACAGATATTCTCGTAAAGCTTTGAAAACCTTTGCCAAATTAATTAGGCCATTCTGTCAGCCAGCGGTTTTTGACTGTGTTCATGTGTGACCTATAGAATAAGCACAAAAAATTTGGGAAAGAATCGAGCATGTCGAAAAATTGGTCTACAAAATTGCTGAAGGCATGCGCGTCAGCCCGTTGCCAACGTATTAAGACGCTCTTCACCCAATGTGGGCGAGCCTTAGCTCACATGCTGGTGAATGGTGGAACACTTTGAGCAGTGATTTCCTGCTCCAATTTTTTCTGCTTTGTAGTCTTTCTCTTGACCCAGTTACAAATTTTTTCATTGAGCACCGTTTTTTGATCACGCCCTGCCTATCGAAATGGGTCTCCATAATTTGATCTGGCTTATTAATGCACACCTTACCACATTTTTCCTGGTCTTCAAGTTGTTTTGCAATCGAATTTGAAACATGTCGTCAGAATAGCTCATTTCGATGTACCGCCACTGTGGGCGAAGGCAAAATTAGGCCGATGTCAGACTTTGCGAATCGCGCGATTCGCTAGCGTCTGCGGTCGCGTCGCGGCCAGTGAATCACTCAATTGGCTGGTACCGCAACGCGACCGCGGACGCTAGCGAATCGCGCGAATCGCTAGTAGCGAATCGCGCGATTCGCAAAGTCTGACATCGGCCTAAGGAAGCTCCATCCCCACATAGAACCGTGGGGACGGGCGAGCGCGATTTTTAAACGGCCCCTTTAATTAGCTGTACATATTTGTGTATACCTTACTTATGGTCTCTCAGAAAATCATGTGTTTAGAAATGGATGGCTCGCATTTTCGCAGTCTCTAACGCTTTCAGTTGAAATTCCTTTGGTGGGCCGCTCAGGTTCAGACTCAATTTGGGAATAGATGTAGATGTTAAAATATGTTGAAAATTCATTTTACCGTGCAATCATTGTTTCGAGAATAAATTTCTCCAGCTCCATTTTGAAAGATCTTCGATTTTTCCGTCGTCAACTGAACGCGGAGGCCGGTGAGAAATGTGCAATGGGAGCTTTTGCTGCGAGTTTCCGGTCCGGCGAATCTGGAACTATTAGAAGTCCCCTTTACTGGAAAAATCCAGTGCATTTGTCGGTAAAGTGCGCACTCCAATGGTGCTCTTCGGTAAGGAAACACTGCATTGCAGGTGCGATTGACCGCTTAAATTGTATTTGTGACCACTCATGAACCTCTAAAAACATTTTTTTGTCAATCTCTGACTTTTGTTCAGGTTTTTCATAACGGATTGCCTATTTATTTACGCTTCTATGATTCGGGCTTCACAAAAATCTTAACAAGCACCGAGCAGTTCATTTATCCTTTTTTCTTGGAACCTGTTGAAGCGTGGGGAGAGTAGTGCAATTTCTTAAGCCTGCCACTACTATGCTAAAGGGGTTGTCCCGGTTTTTCACAAGAACCTTTGTGGAGCTTTATAGGAAAATGGCGCTCACGTCGTTGGAGGGGGGGGGAGGCATTCAAGTGAATTATCCAATTACTGTACTAGGGGCTAAGCTCAGGGAGGTGACATTCTGGGGAGGGCGGAAGAGCAATTTGTGTTCCCACGGGCGTTTCCCCTTCTCCAGGGCTTAGCTGTGTCAACATGGGGCCATCGACCTGTTGTGCTATCCCCCTAAGGCTGTGAGCGTCAAAACGAAGCAAAATCAGTGGCTGGATGAATTTGGAGAGATTGCAAAGGGTCAAGAAAGGATGGGATCACATGTGGTCTGCTTAGCGTACGTACAGTTAACTGTTCCCTCCACATACCCGCCTTCAAATGACCAGAAATTGTGCAATTGCAGAAATTGACGTGGCATTAACGTGGCATCGATTCAAGAACATCTTTGAGCACACGTGATGTCACCTTTTCATCGAGAATTTAGCCACGTAATGCCACGTCAATTTCTGCAATTGCACAATTTCTGGTTATTTTGAAGCGAGGGTAGCTCACTCGTATTTACTGACGTTGTAGCGAGTAATTCTTGCTGAGCACACTTGAATGGTATTTTGACAGATTCGCAAAAGAATAGACGAGATTTTCAAAAGTTCTTGAGCTCTCACGGTTCGTTCAGCGAATCAGAAAAAAAACAGGCTACGGTAGCATTTCCAGAGTTTTTCGTCGAAAAATGAAAGTGTGTGGATGCAGACAAAACGCAATGCTACCATACAATAGTGTACAGCAGAAGGAAAATATGAGTATGCTGAACATGCGACAACCTCACCACCCACTTAAACACACACCTAGTTTCTCATGCATGCAAACGTTTTTTGCTCTTTACAACTTGTTTTCAGGAGAAACGGTGTCTATAGTGAGCTCAACGGCTGTGTTCTGCACGTGTCCGGCTGGATACGAACGTATGCGACCAGAATATTGGGGTGGAGCGGAGATATCAATCAGTTACAAGTGTAAATGAACAGAAATTGAGGATTCTGCTCCTGAGTCACACTGCGGAATCCTTACGCAGTCCTGAGAGCGGCATAATGGCCTCGCTTGCCTGGAAAACTGGTGCTGTGTCTTGTTTTTATTATTTTAACTATGGTTGTTATGTGCAATTTCATCGGATGTAAGAAAACATAAATTAGTTTATTTTTGTTTTGTACATCGAAATATCCGAAACGTGCAGCCAATGCCTTCAGTGCAATCTCTTAAAAGCGGATTTTACGATGAAAAGGCAGCACATTAGAAATAAGGCTGGAAGTGGTCGTGGTGCAGGGATGATGAAAACTTTCAGACAGCTTTAAAGCAGAGGAATGAGGGTACCCTCCAGGAGGCCCGTCGCGCGGCAAGAAGGCAGAGTCGGCGGACGAGTTGCAGCGCGTGGTGTGCGATGTGGGACGTGCAGTGGGACACTCTATTTAACTTGACGCGAAATCCTATAGCACGCGCGCGACTCGTCCGCTGACTTTGCCTTCTTGCCGCGCGACGGGCCTCCTGGGGGTACCGAGGGATGAGGCTCCGACCCTTGCCGTTGGTTTTACGCTGCCGACTTTCCTCGATGCTGCCCTCTTCAACGCTAACGTTCTCTCTGTTAAACGGCCCGAGGCAGACGGTGAGGAAATGGGGCGGGCAGTGACGTGGGTGTGGTCCTGCTTGGTCTCGAGCACACTCTTCGCCGCCAAAAGCATACCACTCCGTACCTTAGGGAACGGGACGGGAGTAGAGGGCAATAAATAGAGGATCGGCGCTATCGCAAGATAAGGGGTATTATGGTGACATTACATTTGAAACCGCATATTACATTTTCGTTTTTGTTTAGAAGGGACTAAACCCTAAGCAGGGGAAGAAAGACTCCAGGATCCGTGAGCCATCATTTTCCTGGAGTTCCTGTCCCCCGCTAGGCTTATTTCTCTAGGGTGTCCTCATATATTGCGAAAGGGCCAAGGATGTAAGTGCCAAACATAACGAATCAAAATGTTGAGATTTTCTTGGTTTTCTGAACTCTTGGATAAAATGTTCGGTAGTTCGGCTCAATTTTGTAAAAAATTCAAAACTCTCAAATTAAAAATTCGCTAAGCTGTTTGTGATCACCATTTCGCGCGTTGGGAAGATACTGTGGAAACTCTCAGCTCTGCAGCTTTTGCTAGAGTTTCGGAGTATTTACAGAACTTTATGTGATCGTTGTTGTGTTTTCTCTGGAATCGTGGCTGGATGCACATCTCAGCAACGCTCATTGATCACCTTCTTCACTTCCGACAACACAGTTGTCATTGCTAACGGGAAAAGAAACACAGCACACAATCTGAGTCTGCTGATAGTGTTTGTAGAATAGACAGACCACATGTCTGCAAGCAAAGAAAAAATGATAGAAAAACGTTTTTATCAAGCGAAGTGAAAGCACGGGTTTCATTCTGCTATAACGTGTACAGGGTGGCTACTAAATATTGGCGCATGGTTTATTGACCATATTTCCAAAAAGAGAAGCTATTACATCTTCAGAAGTTTATCTTTATATACAATATAACATGGCAGTACATTGCTAAAGAAAGTGCTCGAGATGGCCTCCTTTGGTAGCGATACAGGCTTCAAGTCTCTTCTCAACTGACATCACTGTGGGCCGCAAGTAGCTGACGTCAAGCTCCTTCCACGCCTCCTCCAAGGAAGCCTTCAGGGAGTCCAAACTTCGACGTTGCTCAGAAGGCATCTTCTGCTTCAAGAAGCCCCACACCGCCAAATCAATTGGTTCAAATCGGGCGACTTAGATGGCCAAACATTTTGTGCCCGGTAACTTGGAAAATGACGGTCACAGTTCTCCAACATTGATTTTGCGGCATGTGGAGGCGCCCTGTCTTGCTGAAGAATGCAATGACGTTCGCTGAAGGTCAAAAGAGTCCTTGGAAGAAGGGCATCACGTGAAAATTGTTTCCGGGTAGATCTGGGCGCTG